ATCTAAGGTATTTATTTTTATAGCTCACTAACACCTCAATTTGTCACTCACTGCTCAAAATTACTCTCATTTAAAAAATATGTTTTTATTGATTTCAGAGAGAAAGAGAGAAGGAGAAAGAGATAGAGACATCAATGAGAGAGAATCATCGATTGGCTGCTTCCTGCACGCCCCACTCTGGGGATTGATCCTGAAACCTGGGCATGTGCCCTGACCAGGAATCAAACTGTGACCTCCTGATTCATAGGACAATGCTCAATCATTGAGCCACACCAGCCAGGCAAAGTACTCTCATTTTATGCTATGATTGTGAATCTTGTGTAGTTACAGTGCTATATTTAAGAATATTTCTTAATATTTTGTAAGATTTCATATCCAAGTATATCTATTATATTTTATAGATGTTGCTTTTTAATTTTGACAAGAGTCAATTGACAGATAATATTTGACTGAGAAAGAAATATGACATGCCGTGGCCCGTGTTGCTCAGTGGTTAGAGTGTCAGCCCACACACTGGAGGGTTGTGGGTACCATTCTAGGTCAAGGGCATGTAACTGAGTTGCAAGTTTGTTCCCCACCCCAGTTAGGGCGTTTGGATCCAACCAATTGGTGTGTCTCACATGGATCTTTCTCTCTCTCTTTCTCTCCCCCTCTCTCCCATCCACTCTGTCTAAAAATCAATGGGAAAAATACCCTTGGGTGAGTATTAACAAAAGAAATATGATAAGATTAAAAACTATCGAAGTATTTTTTTAATTTTCAAGTAATTTTTTATTTTTTAACTAGAGGCCCCGCGCGCGAAATCATGCGAGACTCAGACCCGCCACGCCTCGAGACCCATCAATGCTCCTCCTGGTGACTGGTCGTTTGGTCATTACGGCCACTGGCCTTTTATAATATAGATTATAGTTGCCATACAATATATTAGTTTTGGGTGTACAACCCAGTGGTTAGACATTTATATAACTTACAAAGGGATCACCCCGATAAATCTAGTACCCATCTGACACCATACAGACTTATTACAATATTATTGACTTTATTTCCTATGCTGTACTTTACATCCCCATGACTATTCTGTAACTACCAATTTGTACTTAATCTTTTCACCTTTTCACCCATCTTCCCAACCCCCCTCCCATCTGGCAACTGTCAAAATGTTCTCTGTATCAATGAGTCTGTTTCTGTTCTGCTTGTTTATTTTATTTTTTAGATTCCACATTTAAGTGACATCATATGGCATTTGTCTTTCTCTATCTGACTTATTTCACTCATCACAATAACCTCCAAGTCACTGGTTTTCAACCAGTGTGCCACCGCACACAACTGTGTACTGCAAAAAGTTATAAAACATGCAGGGGCACTGACCTCTCTTCCATTATACTGTCAAATAAAAAAAGAGAAAGACAATAGCCAACACAGTAGTTGTCTAGTGTAAATGCCCTGTCTTGAACCATAAATATATAGGTCATAAATATACAGGTCATATAGAGTTGCATCTTATTGGTCATGTTGCATAATAAGGTTGTGTCTGATTGGTTAATTCTTGGTACCAGAAATTCTTATATACAAGTATAGGCACTTGATTTTTTAAAAACTCACTTTGGAGTAAAAAAAAAGTTGTTAATCACTATTGGTTTGTGTGTTTTTTTTAATATATTTTTATTGATTTCAGAGAGGAAGGGAGAGGGAGAGAGAGATAGAAACATCAATGATGAGAGAGAATCACTGATCGGCTGCCTCCTGCACTGCCCACTGGGGATCGAGCCCGCAACCTGGGCATATGCCCTGACTGGGAATTGAACCAGTGACCTCTCAGTTCCTGGGT